CCCCCCCCCCCCGCGGGCCCCCCCGCCGCATGCCCGGAGTGCCGCCGGCCCCGCCCACTCCCTCCACCTGCCGTGGTCCCGCCCCTGCGCCGCGCCTGCGTGGGTCGCTTGTGCGCCCGCCCCGCGCTCCTTGGGGCCTGCGGACCAAGGTCGCCGTCTCCACGTTGCGCTTGACCTGGTGGCGGCACCGCATTCGACATCGTTTTCTCATAAGCCCCACCCCGCCGACGTCTCGGCGGAGCGCTGCACCGGGAGTGCCCGCGCTCCCACCAACTTCCCCGACGGCGTAGGTAACGCGCCACCGCCTCTTGCTTCCTCATCTGCGGGGCGGCGGCGTAAGAGTCAGCTCTTCAAGGTCGCCGGGTGATCAAACAGTAGCAGCGGACATTTACCCGCCGGTCTCCTGGCTGAGTTCTTGTCACTTCACCGCGGCGTGCCTCGCACGGTCCTCATTCTGCAGATTCAAGGTCGCCGGGTGATCAAACAGTAGCAGCGGACATTTACCCGCCGGTCTCCTGGCTGAATTCTTGTCACTTCACCGCGGCGTGCCTCGCACGGTCCTCATTCTGCAGTGGGTGGAACGAGCCTGCAGCTCCCGAGCCCACGTTATGAACGGCGGGGCGCCGTGGGAGTGTGCCGGTTGGGTTAGATGAACTGTCACCCGGGCTGGGCGGACTGGGAGACCCGGGCGCCACCTCCGTGTGACCTTGGGCAAGTCTGAGCACCGCTTTGGGCCTCGGATTCCGCCTGCGCACAGTGAGAGCACTGAGTTGGGGAGAAGGAACCGACGTTTTTGTATTAGTTACTCACATCGTGACTTCCTCCAAGTCCCAAAAGCTTTTTTAGTTGGTTATTATTGAAATAGGTTACCCCATTTTACAGAAACAAAACTGAGATCGAAACGGAGAGCCCGGGATTCGAACCGGCCGGGTGCACTTCCCCCTGCACCGGGCTGCTCTCCGGGTGACAGGCGGCTTAAGTCCAGCGCTGACGTCTCCGGCCCCGCTTCTCAGGGAGACACGTTTCTCTCCCGGGCTAGTCTCGCACCCGGGACCCCACCACCCGCCTTGCCTTTAAGTTTTTGGTCGCATCGCGATTATTTGTCCGAACTCGGGAAAACGAACACGGCGTGAGAGCCTGTGCCTTTAAGAAGGGTAGGCCGTGACTTTGACGTCACTACCTTCACCGCCCCTCGGGCCCCTACTGGTCGCTGCGGGCTCGGGAGCCGCCCAGCCAGCAGGCGCCTGCCGGGTTAGCACGTGGATGCCGAGGGGCCAACCGTCAGCTTTCCCTGAGAAAAGGCCTCGCGTCTCTACTGCTTGGAAGCGGGGAGAGTGCGATCTGCGGCCGGTAAAGTGGCCCGTGGTCAAAAGGGCCCCAGAGAAGGCGCCTTTTCTATTCCCTTTCCACCTCACACTGAGTTCAGAAATGACACAACATCGAAAACAGAAAAGAAAAAGAAAAAAGGGCTGGCGGGTTAGCTCTGTTGCTTAGAGCGTCCCCTTCTTTTCACGGGCTCGCCATCCCCTTACCGGCCAGCCGCCAAAAAGAAAATAAATAAATAAATAATGAAATGATACAAAATCAATTCATAAACTGTTAGTTAGGGCGATATCCTAGCCTCAGCTAAGGTCCTTTACAACCTCAGAGTTTTGTTTTACCGAACAGTTTCCCAGCTAACAGCCAAGAGATGATTCTCCCCGCTTTACAGAGGTGCAGGCGGAGGTCCTGTGTGATGGCTTTCCCCGTGCAGAGCAGAACTCAGATTTCCCCCACGTAATCTCCCATTTCACAAACGAGGGAAGGGAGGCCCGAGAGGTCAAATCGCCTCAAGGTTAGTCAAGAGTCAGAATTCGAACCCCCACCTGCCCGACCCAACCAGATACCCACCCTGTCCCACGCCTCTTAAAGTAGCTGTGTGACTTTTGGCAAGTATCTTAACGCCTCTAAGCCTTAGTTTCCCCATTTATAAAATGAGCTAATGGTGATAATAACACACTTACCTGGTAGGGATTATGTGAGCATTTAATGAGTTAATGGCTGTGAAGTACTTTGAGCCCTGCCTGGCATCAGGCAAGGATTACTACTGCTATGACTATATATATAATTTTTTTGCATCTGGCCAGTATGGGGACTTGAACAGTTAGCCTTGGTGTTATAACTATTACTATTATTTTAATTGCCCTCAGGACCTGTGGCACAGAAAATTCCCCAGGTCCTGGCCTCTCCCCTGCCTCCAGTATGCAGTTGTGGATAATAATAACTCCTTATACCCAGATTGAAGGTCCCAAGAGCAAAGTAGCACAGCCAGGAATAAAGCATGGTGACCACTGAGCCTCAGTTTCCTCAACAGTAGAATGAGGGGCTTGCATTACTTTTCTGGTTTTCTTCTTGCAATGATCTTAAACAGGATACCTTTGAGATTTGTCTCTACACCTCAGTTTTTTCATCTGAAAATAAGAACAATATCACTTGTCCTGCCTAGTTTATGGATTCAGCTAAAATCACATCTGTGAAAGCTTCATGAGGAGTCAATAAATGGTTCTGTGGTCCCTGCCAAGGATCCTGAGCTGAGTAGCTCATAGTCCCTGCCTCCGCCCGTGTGTAAATATTTTGAGGCTTAGAAAACCATGGGGCCTCACTGGCATAACCAAAGCCCAGTAGGGTGGCAGCAGTTTGGGCACACCAGAGAGGTTACCCATAGGCAATGAGGTACCACTGGAGCTGATAAAATCTCCCAAGGATTGTGGTGGCTGCAGGGTGGAGCAGGAGCCTTAAGATACCCAAGAAGCTCTGGAACCCTGGCCAGACATGCCTGCCCAGAGGAGCAAACCTGGAGGCCTGAGGAGGAGGTGGCCACTGGTCTGGATGACTCAGCCAAAGTTCATACTGACCACGCACCCCTTGGTCCTTCTAGAGGCAGTATGTGGCCCCGTGTGGCCATCAGCAGCCTCCTGTAGAGATGGGAGAACAGAAACTCCACCTTCCAACTATAAGAGAAAAAAAAAGGGCCGGCCCGTGGCTCACTCAGGAGAGTGCGGTGCTGATAACACCAAGGCCCCGGGTTCGGATCCCACATAGGGATGGCCGGTTCGCTCACTGGCTGAGTGTGGTGCTGACAACACCAAGCCAAGGGTTAAGATCCCCTTACTGGTCATCTTTAAAAAAAAAAAAAAAAGTTTCAGCTACTGGTGTGGTTGTGCAACACCAAGTCAAGGGTTAAGATCCCCTTACTGGTCATCTTTAAAAAAAAAAAAAAAGTTTCAGCTATTGGTGTGGTTGTAGAAACCAATAGACAAGTCCTCGCCTGACACCAGAGGAGCTAGTTGATAGAGGCTGAATGCTTCCAGGGCAAGCCCTGCGGCAAGGGCAGTGTTCCCTCCAGTTTGCACCCCCAGGGGCCAGGAAGACATTTATGGGACTGAATAGGGGCTCAGGGGGTCCACAGGTGGGACCATACCAGCACCTCTGAGTCAGGGGCCAGTGCTGTACCCATCCAGGGTAGACTCAGAGGCAAAGCCTAGGTTGCAGAACCACTTAACCACCCCACCCACCCCCCATCCCCCCAGGAGAAATCCAAATTCCAGGTCCGTAGCTAAATGCAAAGTCTGAGCTCTGATTGGATCCTGAGAGTGGGAAAGGGTGGGAGAGCTACAGAGGACTTCATTGGGGCAAATGGAGTAAATTGAATAAGGTCCGTGTGGTAGATATTACTTTATCCATGTTAAGTTTCTTGAATGTGATAACCATACTGTGCTTTTGTAGGAGAACACCCTAGTTAGAGCATGGCCTTTAACACCAAGTTCACAGGTTCTGATTGCCCTACTGGCCAGCCACCCAAACAAAACAAAACAAAACAAAACCCACCCTTATTCTTAGGAAATGCACACTGCAGTGTTTAGGGGAGAATGAAGTGTTGTGATGTCTGCAACTTAGTCTCATAAGTTCCGGAAAAAGAAAAGAGAGATAGAGCCAATGTAGCAAAATGTTAACACTCAGTGAATCACTGTGAAAGGTATATGGATGCTCATTGTACCATTCTTGCAACTTTTCAAAATAAAAAGTTGGTAGGGAAAGGGATCCATCCCCCTCAAATACATATGTATTACTGATAGAATCAGAAAAAGCAAAACTGGGCCGGCCCGTGGCTCGCTCGGGAGAGTGCGGTGCTGATGACACCAAGGCCACGGGTTCGGATCCCATATAGGGATGGCCGGTTAGCTCACTGGCTGAGACTGGTGCTGACAACAGCAAGTCAAGGGTTAAGATCCCCTTACTGGTCATCTTTAAAAAAAAAAAAGAAAAAGAAAAACTGTCTTTGTTTTGGAAATGAAAAAAAAAAAGTTATACGATCAGCCCAGCTGGGAAAGGCCTCCCTACCTCCCCTTCCCCCCATGTCCTGAGAAGGTGGGTTGGGAGTTTCTGGACACCCAAGGCTTCATTCAGGAGGGCCCTGGCGTGGTCTGAGAAGGCCGGCCCCCAGAGGGGGAGGGTCCTGGCTAAGACCTTTCAGAATTGGCCCCCAGCCTGGCTCCCAGACTTCTGCTCTGCTAGGGGAGTCTGGCTTAATGTACCTCTGCGGAAGGCGGTTTTTGGCCATAACTATCAAAAATCTAAATGCCCAAACCCCTGACCTGGCCAGGCCACTTCTAAGAATTCCTCTAGTCATCTGTTCACACAAGAGCAAAACAACATATGAACTTGCCCTTGAACTTGGCCTTCTTTGTTGCAGCCTTTGTAACAGAAGAATGTCCCACCAAAGGGAACTGTTAAGTGAAGACAGTATCTCCATACGATGAATACCATGTAGCTTTGGAAGGGATGAAGATCCCTCTGTTAAAATGTGAAACTATCTCACAGAGTTAAATTAAACAGCAGGGCGCTGAGAGTGCGGTACAGTTGCTCCCAGCAGGAGCTCCACTGCCCCCTAGGGGACATTTCTGAAATTTATGAGGCCGTTTCCATTTCTGGTTGTCACAAGATTGGGGCTTCTGGCGTTTGATAGATGGCAGGTCAGGGATGCGAAATGTCCTGTAAAGCGTAGGGCAGTCTGACACAACAAGGACTTCCAATGACAAGGACACATCTCTCAATTTTCCTCTGTCTTTCTGGACAATCACATGCATGAGAACCCTGTTCATAATTATAGGACCTGGAGGCTAGCTCTATTTTACCCACATCTTTTTGGAACAATTTTAATATACTGCACATTGAATTCTCCAGGAATAAGATCACCATGCAATCCTTGGGAAGACTGGACTTTGTCCTCATTAGAACTTTACCAAGGATCGTTCACCATTTCAGAAAATCTTGTCCCGGTGGCCACCTGACCCCTTGTGAGCTGAGTTGCTAACATCAACACTCCAGCGCCAAGTCGGCATTTAGGACTCTCCATGGCCGGTGATTGTGTGCATTTGTCAGCTTATGTTCTCTTGTGTAGTTGAGCCTGAGCTTTTACACGCATAAATTCATTATTTTATTATAAATTACTTTCCTTTTATTTTTCCTTTATATTACAGTAGGAACTTTATACAGATTTCTAAAAACATTGTGTGTAGGAAAATCATACTATCTATGAATTTCTTTTCTGAATATTAAAGCAGAGCTACAAAACAGGTCTGTGAATGAAATACTGTCTTAGGCACTAGAATACAGCAGGGAATAAGCCACATAGTGCCCCTGCTCACACTCTAGTGCAGGAGACACAAACAAGTAAATACATAAGCAGTTGCAGACAGCGGGGACATCTGTGAGGGTAATAAGAGAGGGTCACGCAATAGAGCCTGGGATGAGCTAGAAATAAGGGAGTCTAGGGGGTCTGGGAACATTGATGGAGATTAACCCATAGTGAGAGCCAGAGAGGGTGGAGCAGGCTGGGGTGAAGGGAGGCACTCAGCTGAGAGGTTGGGGATGACACACTAACTGAAATTGAAAAAATATGGTGGTGGTTACAAAGCCTCTGGGCAGACCCAGATTCAGTCCAGCTGTGTGACCTCGGGAAGGTTGCTTAACTTCCCTGAATCCTAGTTCTCTCATTATAAGATGGGAATAAAGTTTGTACCTACCTCACAGTGTTATGTTAAAAATAAGAGAGAGCTGAGCACAGAACCTGGCACAACTTAAATCTCAGTACAAATTTTCAGGACCTACTTTTTATTTTTTTTATTTTATTATTTTTTATTGAATCATAATTGATTATACATATTTTTGGGATTCAATGTTGACATATATTGATCAAATCAATATTACTAGTATATATGTTGTTACAAATTGTACTTATTCTTGATGCCCCTTGTCCAATCTCTCCCTATCCCCCTCTCCCTCTCCCCCTCCCACCACAGATAACCCTAGATTTCTTCTCTCTCTCTGAAAGAGTAATGGTTACTCTGTGGATTTGTTGCCTAGATGATCTGTCCAGTGCCAAGAGGTGTGTTCAGGTCCCCCAGTATTATCACAGAGCAGATGCTGCTTCTGTCACTCTGGAATGGGCTTTGTGGAGAGAGACATCCTCTTCTTTTCTTTATCTCTGCTGGTGACTCTCCTTGAGTCAATGTACCTCAGTGGCTGGTGGACCATCTGTGTGGTGGTTGTGGTGTCTAGCTGCTTTTGTGGCAGCCGTGGTTACTGTGGTGGCTATGGTGGGCCACCCACATGGAGGTGATGTTTTTGGCGTGCTCCTTGGCGCTGGTGGTGTGCCTGGTTGTCGGGGGGGGGGGGTCTGGTCCCCAGCTCCATGCCCCGGGCCAGGACATACTTTTTAAAAACACTGAAATCAAGTGTACCAGCAATGTTCCTAAAAGACTGAGTTATAGTCCTGTGATATGCATCTGAGCACAGATTTCTCTGCTAACTTGGTGGGGGACCTTGTCTCTTTCTTGGGCCTCAGTTTCTTCATCTTTAAAATGGAAAGAGTAATACTCCTGGCCCTCCTTCCTTCCCAGGGCTGCTGAGGTGTGAGATGAGGTGTGTGCAGGTGGCTTGTGACTGGGAAAGGGTCCCTGGGGGGAAGGTTCTTCCGCCCTGACAAACCCCTTGCAGCTGCCTCTTCTCTGCTCCTCTTTGGGCTCTTGGAGATGACTCCGACCTGAGTTCTCTGAGCTGTCTGGGGAGGGTTTCCTCACCTAGGCCCTGGCCCACTGCTTCAGAGATAGGTCACCAGGTTAACAAGAGAAACCCCTTTGATGTCCTACAAAGAATTCCTCCTGTTTTTAATACGCCAGTTTACAAGATTTCTTCATCTCCATCACCCCGTTTGAACCTCACATGACTGTGTGGAGGGCGTGCAGGCGTTATTGTGTACCCATTTGATAGGTGAGGAACCTGAGTTTCGGAGGAGTTAAGTTGCCTATCCAAGTCATTTGGAAGAGATATTTCCTGACTCCTGGAGGCCTGCCTGGAGAAGAGCCAGGGTTGCTCAGGAGGGCTGGAAGGGCTGTGAGGGAGAGCCAGGGGAGCAAGCTGAGCTGGGGTCAGCATTCAGGGGAGCCTGGTGAGGCAGGCAAAAGCTCATGGATCTGATTCACTTGGGCTCAGATACTGACACCACCGCTTCCTAGCTGGGTGACCTTGGACAAGACCCTTAGTATCTCATACATCTGTTACGTGGAGATAATACTCTGCAGTGTTGTTTTAAGAACTTGAGGGATGCATACAGAGTAGACATTCAAAACATAGTCCTGTGTTATAACACTAGGGTTAAGGGTTTGGATCCCCATACCAGCCAGCTGCCAAAAAAAAAAAAAAAGTCCTGATTCTTGTTCTTTCCATGCTTGCTTTTGCTCTCTAAGCTCATTAGCTCCCAGCTCCAACACTCAAGGAATCAACCATGCCCACAACCCAAGCTGTCCTTCCATTTCAACGATGCAAACTAACCACTTGCTACCCTTGACAGGAGCTGGGCTCCAACTCCTAGAGTCCACAAGCAATGGAGGGACCATGGAGGCATAAATACCGCAATGGTCATCAAGTTCAGAAAAGCGTCCAGGGTTGGAAGAGTACTCCACACACCCACTGGGACACATGACACTGGCTGGACCACCAGGCAGGGCCACCCTCTTCCAGGGGAGAGACGCGATGTCTTTAGATGTGGGCCCAGGGGGCTATATCATGGAGAAGTTTGGGAAGGGTTTGGACAACCTGAGCCCCTGTCTTTGGTTCGGTTGGGATTTTTTTCCCCACTCTACTGGGATGAGATTTTAAGTCATTGGATTTGTAAAGTTTAATCAGAAAATAAATTGCTTCGTCCTGAAAAAATGCAATTTGCTTGTCAAAATTCTTTCAGGGCTGGCCAGTTAGCTCAGCTGGTTAAAGCACAACCTTGTAACACCAAGGTCAAGGGTCCGGATCTCCATACCAGCCAGCCACATTAAAAGAAAAAAAAATTCAAACAGAGGAGTGATGGAGAAGGAAATGGCAGTTTATTGAGGAACTACTATGTGCCAGGCACTTTCGTTAGATGTTTTACCACATTCTTCAGTCCTCCTGAACACCCTGGGAGGCAGGCACTGTGATGACCCCATTTCACAAAAGAAGGCATTTAAGGTCAAAGAAATAAGCCAAGCCACCCAGCTGGTAAGAAGCAGAACTGGAGTTTGAGCCCAGCAGGCAGTGAAGAGGTCTGGCTGCTCTGATCCCAGGCCACCAGCCAGGCTTGCAGAAGAGGGCTGACTCTTGAACTCTGGCACCTGCCTCCTGTCCTGTCTGAGGTGGGAAAGGAGAGAGGACAAGAGTGCCGCTTGTGTGATAGTTTGGTTACAATTTACCTGAGCTTTTACACTTTGTCAAAAGCAGTAATTGAGTAAGAAACAAAACAGGAAACTTGCTTGTCCACTGTCACTGGGCAAGTTCATGCCCTGACGTCGTCACGTACCTCTGTTCCCAAACACCCTGCCGCAGCCTCTAGCCTGGGCACTGGCCTGTTCTGCCTCCCTCCCCCATCACCCACCTATATAGTCCAGTAACCCCCAACCCCAGCTTTGGTTTCCCTTTTTTCTTAAAGAGGGACATCCTGTCCTTAAATGGAACATATTCCCAGCCCCAACTGTGGGTTGGGATAGTTTGGGATGGACACAGCCTTGCCTGCTCCCGCCGTCTCCACCTGCCCATCCTGTGGGAACTGGGCCAGAAAGATGGAGCCAAGGGGGGGCAGGGGGTCACGTCTAGTGTGAGGGGCTTCTGCAGACCTGGTCATGAGTCCCAGGTCTGTTTTGAAATAAAAAATGCCTGCTGCTTCTATTTATTTTTATTTATTTATTTATTTTAAAAAGATGACCGGTAAGGAGATCTTAAGCCTTGACTTGGTGTTGTCAGCACCACGCTCACCTAGTAAGCTAACCGGCCATCCCTATATAGGGACCTGAACCCAAGGCCTTGGTGTTATCAGCACCACACTCTCCCAAGTGAGCCACAGGCCGGCCCTGCCTGCTGCTTTTAGAAAGTTTTTGGTTGACAAAGCATTTTTTTTTTGGACCGGTAAGTGGATCGCAACCCTCAGCTCGGTGTGGTCTGCACCGCACTCAGCCAGTGAGCGCACTGGCCATCCCTATATAGGATCCGAACCCGCGGCCTAGGCGCTGCCAGCGCCGCACCCTCCCGAGTGAGCCACAAGGACGGCCCGCATTTTTCTATCCCTAATCCCATTCGATCTTTAATAGCAAGGGAGGAACTCTGGGAATCTGCATTGCATTTTAAATATGAGGAGACAGGGAGGAGACAGGGCTGGCCGGTCAGCTGAGCTGGTTAGAGTGCGGTGTCATAACACCACAGTTACAACACTGGCTGTACCGGCCAGGCGCGCCCTCCCGCCGCCCCCCGCAAAAAAAGTGAGGAGACAGAGGCTGAGAGGGACTGTATTAATCTGTTTCTGTTGCTTATAACAGAAATACCTGAAACTGGGTAGTTTGTAAAAAAACTATTTATTGCTTACACTTTTGGAGGCTGGGAAATCCAGAGTCCAGGGAGCACATGTGGCGAGGGCCCTGTTCTTGGTGGTGGCTTCACAGCAACACCGGGTATCACATGGCGAGTGGCTTGAGGTTGGGGGGTGCTTCTCATGCACTCTCCTTTTAAAGCCACCAGGACCACACCATGGCCACCATTAAACCATCAATGAATTTATCCATCCACTGGGCATGGCCCTCATAATTGAATCACCGCTTCAAGGCCCCACTTTCAAATCACCATAATAGGATCTCCTACCCTCTTAACACTGCCACAGTGGGGGTACCAGGGGACACAATTCAATCCATAGCAGTGACCTTGGCCTAGAACCAGGACAGGCTATATGATTTGCAGGGTCTAGCACAAACAAAAATGCTACATCATTTGTTCAAAAATTATTAAGAATTTCAAGACAGCAACAGCAGAGCATTAAGCAGGCACAGGCCCCTCCTAGGCATGGGCCCAGGCTGTGTGCCCAAGAAGCTGGCCCTGCCCAGACCCAGAATGCTGGGGTGCGTACTTTGATCTTAGAAGCCCTCCAGCCGGGAGGCCTTGGAGTGAGCCTCTCTAGAGCCTCAGTTTCCTCTCCGGTGAAGTGTGGGAGCATCAAGCACCAACCTCCCTTCCAGGTGGGCTTTCTGGAACAGCTTAAAGCTCCCACACCCAAAATCTCCCCAGTGCCCCCCTCCCAGCCTGGTTTCCTGGTCTCCATCCCCCTCCCCTCCCCCATCCTTCAGAAGTCCAGAAAGGACAGGTGACTGTGTAGCTCTCTGGGCTCAGACAGTGGGGGTGGGGTCTCTTCTATCAAGCTAGGCCTTCAGGGAATGACTCATCCTCCCCCTCATGCCTGCTTGGGGCAGGCAGCCTGGAGGGCCCAGCAGAGCCTGGCAGGCACGCGGGTCAGGTGCCTGGTGGTGAGGGCGGGCGCCTTAGGAACTGGGGCAACAATTGCTCACGGCCAAGGTGACTCAGGCAGGAAGGGGAAAGAGCAGGTGGGGGTGGGGAGTGCGGCTGTTCTGTACCCTCCTCTAACCCTTGCCTTCTAGGGTTGCCAAATGTAGCAAATAAAAATACGAGGAGCCCATTACATTTTTTTTTTTTTAAGATGACCGGTAAGGGGATCTTAACCCTTGACTTGGTGTTGTCAGCACCACGCTCTCCCAGTGAGCAAACCGGCCATCCCTATATAGGGATCCGAACCCGTGGCCTTGGTGTTATCAGCATCACATTCTCCCAAGTGAGCCACGGCCGGCCCTACATTTTAATTGCAGATACACAATGAACAAGTTTAAGTCTAGGAAGGCCTCAAATATTGCATGGGACACATTCATACTAAAAAAAAAATGCACTTAATCTGAAATTCAAATTTAATTGTGCATTCTATATTTTATCTGGCAACTCAAGATTGGGGGGGGAAGGAAGTCCCTGCCCTGGGGCAGCTGTGGCTCTTCTATGCGGGTGGAGTAGTAATTCTGAGTGAAGAAAACCCTGAAGGGGCAAATTGGAAGAATCAGGGAGAGGTTGAGAGGAGTGGAAGGAGATGGGAGAGAAAGATCCCTTACCTCTTACTCAGACCACTACCTCTGAAAGCAGCCATAAGGCTGACCAGGAGGACACTCAGCCTGAGGGACACACAGAACAGGAGTGAGGGCGTGATTTCACCCCCAGGGGCCTCTCCATGCTAAACTCCTGAGCAGGATCTCTTGTCACTGGTGGTATCTCAGTCAGGGCAAGGTCGGCATCTGATGCCCAGTCCAGCTGGGGCTGCAGCAGAATAGAAATGGACCAAGAGGTATAAGAAGTTATACACATTTATGGCGGCTTAAGCAAGGAGAAAAAAAAAAGCAGAAGCTACAAAAGAAAAGATTGGTCAATAGATTTCTGACAACATAACACAAAAGACATATGACAAATTGGGAGGAAATATCTGCAACATACAGGGGTACTTCAAAAAGTTCATGTACGGTTAAAGCACAGCCTTATAACACCAAGGTCACAGGTTCAGATCCCAGTACCAGGCAGCTGCAAAAAAAAAAAAAAAAAAAGTTCGTGGAAAAATAGAATTAAAAGATAACGTGAATCTTTCCATGAACTTTTTGAAGTGCCCTCATATCTAATATCCAGAATATATAAATAGCTCCTTCAGTTCAACAAGAGAAAGACAAACATTGCAGAAAAATGAGCAAAACATAACGTGATTGTTGAATTTCTGTCTACTAAGATGGTGTTTTTGGATAAGATTCACATTTAAATCAGTGAACTTTGGGTACAGCAAATTGCCTTCCATAATGTGGATGAGCCTCAGCTGAAGCCCTGAATAGAACAAACAGATGGGTCTCCCCAAGCAAGAGGGACTTCTTCAGCTGACAGCCTTTGGACTTCAGCTGCACCACCAGCTCTCCTGGATCTTGAACCTGCCAACCCACACTAAAGATTTAGGATGGCTATGTAGGTTGAGCATCCCTAATCTGAAAATCCTAAATCCAAAATGCTCCAAATTCTGAAATGCTCCAAAATCCAAAACTTTTTGAGCTCAGACATGATACTCAAAGGAAGTGCTCATTGGAGCATTTCGGATTTCAGATTTTCAGATGAGGGGGTACTCAACTGGTATGTATTCTGTGAATAATCTGAAAAAGTCTGAAATCTGAAACATTTCGTATAACGAATATTTAACCTGTAATGAGAAAGACAGATGTTAACAGGAGATAAGTGTTGGTGAGGATCAGGAGAAAATTAAATCTTCATACGCTGCTGGTGGGAATGTAAAATGGCATAGCCACCTTGGAAAACAGTCTGGAAGTTACTCAAAAGTTTAAACAGGGGCCGACCCGGTGGAGCACTGCTACAGTGCGCCGCTTGGGAAGCGCGGCAGCGCTCCCGCCGAGGGTTCGGATCCCACATACGGACCGGCGCTCACTGGCTGAGCGAGGTGCGGGCGCAACACAGAGGGTTGCGATCCCATTGCCGGTCCTGGTCCGGTACGGGCGCAACACTGAGGGTTGCAATCCGTTGCTGGTCACGAAAAAAGACAAAAAGAAAAAAAAAGTTTAAACAGAGTTATTATATTATCCAATAATTCAACTCCTGGGCATATGCCCAAGATAAAAGAAAACATATCTATACAAAAACTTGTATAATAATGTTCACAGCAGCATTATTCATAATAGCCAAAAAATGTAAACAACACAAATGTTCATCAACTAATGAATGACAAAAGAAATTATAGCATATCCATACAATGGAAATAAAAAGGAATGATGTAGTGATACATGCCACATGACGAACTTTGAAAACATTACGCTAAGTAAAAGAAGCAAGTCACAGAAGATCACATATTGTAAAATTCATTTATATGAAATGTCCAAAATAGGCAAATCTATGGAGATAGAAAGTAGATTAGTGGCTGCCTAGGGCTGGTTGCGGGGAAATAGGGAGTGACTGCTGAAGGCTATGGGGCTACCTTTTGCAGATAAAAATGTTTTTAATTTGGGGCTGGCTGGCAGCTAACTTGGGAGAGCGTGGTGCTGATAACACCAAGGTCAAAGGTTCTGATCCCCACACCGGCCAGCCACCCAAAATTAAAAAAACAGTTCTTAAATTGACTGTTGTGGGGCCGGCCCGGTGGCGCACTGGATAAGTGCACCGCTTGGGAAGCGCGGCGGCGCTCCCGCCAGAGGGTTCGGATCCCATATACAGACCGGTTCCCGCTCACTGGCTGAGCGAGGCGCGGGAGCAACACCGAGGGTTGCAATCCCGTTGCCGGTCCCCGGTCCGGTACGGGGGCAACACTGAGGGTTGCGATCCGTTGCCGGGCATGGAAAAAGACAAAAGACAAAAAAAAAAAAAAAATTGACTGTTGTGATGGTTGCACAACTCTGTGAATATACTAAAAACCATTGAACCGTACACTTTTTTTTTTTCTTTTTTTCTTTTTTACTGACCGGTAACGGGATCGCAACCCTCGGTGTTGCGCCCACACCGCGCTCAGCCAGTGAGCGGGAACCGGTCTCCACATGGGATCCGAACACTCGGTGGGAGCGCCGCCGCACTCCCAAGCGGCGCACTCTCCTGTGCGCCACCGGGCCGGCCCGAACCGTACACTTTAAAAGGATGAATTTTATGGTATGTGAATTATATTTCAATAAAGCAGTTATTTAACAAAAGAGGTTGGTCCGAGTGCAGTGGTGTTTACAACTAATTGATCACAACCAGTTACAGATTTCTTTGTTCTTTCTCCACTCCCGTCTCACTTGACTGGCCTTAAAAAAAAGAAAAAGGAAAACTAAAGAAACTGGCAGAATTGTTTGTGCTGACATGGAACAATCGCCAAAATACATTGTTAAGTGTTTAGAGCAGATTGTAGAACATGGGAGGGCTCAGGGAAGGGGGCATATAGGGACTGATCTCCCGTGGACACTGAGGTACGACTGTATTTCACACTTTCTTGCCATAGTAATAAGAGTAAGTGCATATGATTCAAACTTTTCTGAATGTTCAGGCTCATACCTTGACTATTAATTACTGTCCTTTAAGAGTGATGCCCTTAGGCATCCAGGACTGTTTGCTCCTAAGTTCTTCAGTCTGCTTTTTGCAATTTTTCCTATGGCTAAACTCAAAGCAACTCCTTCTAGAAACTTCAGTGCATACATTCCCTGATCTTTCTATAATTTACTGTTGCTGGGAAGTCAGATAACAACATTTATTAAAAGTACATGAAAAAAGAAAAAAGTATACATAATAAGAGAAAAGAGGCTCTACGTGAGGAAAACTTTGAGCTCTTTCATAGAAAAAGTTTGTGGTGCTCCAGAGCAGCCTTTCTCAACCTCAGCACTATTGACATTCTGGGCAGGATAATTCTTTGTTGTGTGTTCTATGCATTGTAGGATGTTTAGCAGGATGGCTGGTCTCTACCCACCAAATGCCAGTATCCCTCACCCCAGAGTTGTGACAACCCAGAATATCTTAAAGACACTGCCAAATGTTCCCAGTGGGCAAAATCTCCCCTGTTTGAGAATCACTATTTTGAAGATTCGACTTTGTGATGTTTGTTTCAGTCACTTTAGGTTTTTTTTCTCTCTGCATGCATTTTTTCTAGTTCTGTGTAGTTTTGATTAATAGGTTCATTTATTGATTTGCCTAACATTTCACGAAAATCGTGTGTGTGTGTGTGTGTGTGTGTGTGTGTGTGTGTTTCAACAGAAGCAAAAGCTATACTCCCTGCCCTCAGGATATGCAGGAAAGAAAACATGCACAAACATGTCACCAGGGTGCAGAACAGCCCTAGAATCTCAGCAGGAGCCTTGTCTACTCTCTGCAGCGTCCCTAGCTCCAGGCTAAGAAGCCCTGCCACACAATTCCACAACTCTGTCACTCCTTCCCTGCCCAGACCGCCACCACCTCTGAGTGTGGCTATTTGTCCCCCTGCCTCAGCCCCAGCCTTACACTCAGGCCAAGCTCTTTGCTTGCCCTTCACTGCTCTCCATCCACTCTGTAAACACAGCCCATCCTCTGACCTCTGAGGCCCAGCTCCAGGCTTTCCCTGGGCCTCTCCTCCTCCCTGGCCAAGGCCTCTGGCACTGAGCAGTCTAGTTCCTGTCGCTGGCTAATCTGTTCCGTGTGACAAATTTTCTCTCCTCGCCTGCCATGTCAATTCCTCGAAGGCAGGGTCAACTGCAACTAGGAAGCGACTTCACTGCCCCCGCGCCCAGCCCAGCCTTGTGCCAGGCACCCAGCAGCTCCTCAAGCTCACCTGCACTGAATGTGGCATTCAATTCCTGCCCAAGGCTGCCCTTCCCATCTGGTTTCCTAGTGCTCTGCTCCGAATCCTTCCCATCTGCCAGTTAAAATCCTTCCAGATTCAGCTCAAGGAGGTGCTCCCATGATGGAATTAAACCTCTTCCTCCCGCCTTGGACCAACCTGCTACACATTTGTACACATCTACAGCACCTGGCCCACGACCGTGCACCTTAAATGAGATTTAGTCTGAGCCTGTCTCTCCCCCCCCCACCCCCGCTCCAAACCCCAGCACCTCGCAGAAAGGGCCTGGGGGCTGTTTATCTTTCTTCTCACAACCGTCCCTCAACTGCCAGGCTGCCTAGCATTTCATCTGAGTTCGCTGAATAGAATAGAAAGGGAATGCACAAACGTCCTGTAAAGGCCCCTGAACACACCCCCACAGGCAGCCCCCTCGCCGGCCAGCGTCCCCAGACACGCGCTGCCTCATCTCTAGCAGTCTCTCCCAGGGGCCGGCAGGACGGGAGAAGGTGGCGAGGCGAGCACGGGCTGCCTGGCTGAGGCAGGCCACGGCGTCACATGATTCTCCCATCACATGATCCTTAGAAATGGGGTGTGGGGAAACAGAACTGGGGGAGGAGAGTAGATCGAGTAGGAAAGAAACAGTATTCCAAGATGGCCCCGCCTCTATGTCGAAGAGCAGCCAATGGGAGCGCGGCAACCCGAAGCCCTGGCCAATGGAAGCCGAGGTGGGCGGGCCATCGTGCCGAGGGTGCTAGTCGGCGAGCCGAGCGACCGCGGCTACCCAGGGAGCGCGGACCCGGACGCAGGTAGGAGGGCGGCGGCGCGGACCTCCCGCCTGCTGCCGCCAGGGGCCCGGCCGGGGACGTGTGGGCTTGAGGCTCCTCTGGAGTCTCAGCCGGGAGCCAAGGGAAGACCCGCTTACGGAAACTCCGTCGGGGGTTTCTGATGCACTGCAGGGAGTTTTATCGGGGCGGGAGGAGTAAGCAGTTAATTGCAGCGATCTTCACTAGAAGGGGGCTCGCTCCCTCCCCAGCATCCCAGGAAGCTGCAGCCCTTTTCCCAGAGTACGAACCACGCCATTCGTGAGCCAGCGCCACTCCCTGTCGGCAGGTGCAGGCTCTTGCCCCTTCTGGTGGTGGTGCCGGGTGGTCCTCGAGGCGGCTTGGAGCGGGAGGGACGCGCTCCCCTGGTCCCGGAGCTGAGAGGGGCCGGAGCGGGACTTGAGGCTTTGGCTTCTCAAAGGTGGTAGGGACTTGGGAGTGGTGCCTGAACCCCTGGGTTGTGTCTGGCTGTCTCTGACTTCCTCCGGTGGGGGGTGGGACGAGCTAACTTCCGCCTCTCCCCGTCACTTTTTCTTGCTCATTTACAGCTGGGTTGGCTCACCTTTTGGGAATTTCCTCTCCCCTTGGCACTCAGAGTTGGAGGGTGCCACCTAGTGGATGATGGAGCTTGAAGGGGCTTGAAGAGGCTCCTGTCCTCTCTGGCTGTTTTGGCCGAGTAGGGTGGGGGTGAAAGGGGCCGCCACTGAAAACCCTGCTGAGGGGAACTGGGGGGCCTCGTCCCCATCTCTGGCTCTGTGTGAGCGTGCGTGTGTATTCAGTAGCAGCATCGACTATACTCCCTAACCTCGGGATAAACAGTAAAGAAAATATACACAAATCAATCACCAGGGTGCCCAGTACTCCCGTGCAGACAGGCAGCCTTTCCGGACTAAGCCAGGGTAGTGGGGCAGTCTGATGAGGGCTGAGGTTGGACACCCGAGAAGCAGGTGGGGACTTGTAGATGCTTTGCCTGGGAGCTATAGGGGTGAGGAGAGGGTGAAAGGGGCCGTGGTCCAGGACCAGTCTTTCCATCCTTATCCCGCCAAGAGATGGCCTGTTAGGGGTGTTCTTGAGTTAGGGGAGGGGTATTTGAGGAAAACCAGGTGAAGGAGAAAGGATTTCCTTTCCCCCACCTCCCAGCAATGTCCACACACAGACTCATGGGGAATTGAGGCACAAAGGCAGAGAGCAACTTTTTTTTTTTTGGCAGCTGGCTGGTATGGGGATCCGAACCCTTCACCTTGGTGTTCTGACACCACACTCTAACCAACCGAGGTAACCAGCCAGCCCTGGTAGCAACTTCTGAGGCCCTCACAATCAGTTGGTGGCAATTCTAGGACTAGGACCCAAGCGCAATTTCCAGACAGCCCCTGTACCCCCTCTTTCTGTCCTGCCTGGCCCACCTGCCCAGAAAACGTTTCTGTCCCCCTCCCTCCACTAGGATCTCAAGTCTGTATCCCCTTTGGGTTTGGGGATCATTCCCAGGCACTATCCAGTGTGCCACGTGTGATATGAACCCAGGTCCAATATGCTCTGGAGCCATCAAAGCCTGTCATGACCATGACTCGATGTATGTTATGAGCACATTACTGTCATCCTTCAGTATCCGTGGGCAACTGGTTCCAGGACCCCCGTCCATACCAAAATTCACAGATGCTCAAGTCCCATATACAAAATTGCATAGTATTTACATATAACCTATGCATATCTCCCGTATACTTTAAATCATCTCTAGATTACTTTTAATACCTAAGGAATGTAAATGCTATGTAAATAGTTGGTATACTGTATTTAGGGAATAATGATAAGAAAAAGTCTGTACACGTTTAGTTCAGACACAACCACTGTAGGCCTAACTACGTAGTACACATCAGCAACAATGTAACATTTTGTGAGATTTTTTTCCCAAATATATATA